GAGATTGTGCCACAGTACTCCAGCCTGGGCGAGAGTGAGACTCTGCCTCTAAAAAAAACAAAAACGTACACAAAAAAACCAAAACAATGAAATAGCAGTTCACACCTACCGGCAAAATCAAAAAGAGAGATAATACTAAGTAAGGATGTGGATGACCCGGAATCCTAGTGCCTTACTGGTGGAAACAAAAAATGGTACAGCCACTTCAGAAAAAAAAAAAAAAAAAGTGTAGTGGTTCCTAAAAATGTTAAATGTAGAGTTACCATGTAAACCAGCAATCCCACTCCTAAGTCTACACAAGAGAAATGAAAACACATGTCCACACAAAACCTTGTACAAAACTGTTCACAGCAGGATTATTTATAATAGCCAAAGACTAGAAACAACTCAAGTGTCCATCAACTGCAACCTCTGTCTTCCGGGTTCAAGCGATTATCTTGCCTCAGCCTCCTGAGTAGTTGGGATTACAGGCACCTGCCACCAAGCCCAGCTAATTTTTTCATTTTTAGTAGAGACAGTGTTTCACCATGTTGGCGAAGCTGGTCTCGAACTCCTGACTTCCAGTGATCTGCCACGTTGGCCTCCCAAAGTGCTGGATTACAGGTGTGAGCCACTGTGCCTGGCTCTTTATAGGAAATAACTAAAGTAGGCAAACCTGGCCAACATGGTGAAACCCTGTCTCTACTAAAAATAACAAAAATTAGCTGGGTGTGGTGGTGCGTGCCTGTAATCCTAGCTACTGGGGAGGCTGAGGCAGGAGAATCGCTTGAACCCGGGTGGCAGAAGTTGCAGTGAGCCGAGACTGCACCACTGCACTCCGGCTGGAGCAATAAGAGTAAAACTCCATCACAAACAAACAAACAAACAAACAAAAAAACCCAAAAACCTGACTATGGTGATAGCTGCACAACTTTGTAAATATGCTAAAAAATGTAAATTACACATTTGAAAGAGATGAACTGTACGGTATATAAATAAGACTGTTAATAATCTTTTTTGTGTGTGTGACGGAGTCTCTCTCTGTCACAAGGCTGAAGTGCAGTGGCGCAAACTCGGCACACTGCAACCTCTCCCTCACAGGTTCAAGCAATTCTCCTGCCTCAGCCTCCTGGGTAGCTAGGATTATAGGCGTCAGTTATCATACCCATCGATTTTTTGTATTTTTAGTAGAGATGGGGTTTCACCACATTGTCCAGGCTGCTCTTGAACTCCTGACCTCAAGTCTTGAACTCCTGACCCCCTGCCTTGGCCTCCCAAAGTGCTGGGATTATAGGTGTGAGACACAATGCCCAGTCTGTTAATAATCTTTTAAAAATATTATTATTATTATTTTTTTGTTAAGTGTACCTCTCTGTGGTTCCTTTACTTAGAAATCCTAGAAGACTCCCTGCTGACCACGTATCACCATCTAAGCCCTTCAACTGGGCAAGCCAAGGCCCTGTAAAGTCAGGCATGGATCATCTTTCCAGACACCTTCTATGGCCACCACCCCCAATCCAGCTACAGCAGGCTTTTGCTTTCCTGCTCCTGTGCCTTCCTCAGGCCTGCCCTGCACTGGGCTGCCCTTCGTTGATCCAGCAGTCTTACTATGAAGTTTTGGTCCAGCTCAAACGCCAGCCTACCCATGACATTTGCTTCCCTGCCTACTCCCTGCAGAACCCATTACATTGTATTCAATGTGTTGGTTTGGTTCTTCTGTTAGATTGAGAAGTTAAAAAATGAGGTCTTATTCCTCTTTGTGTCTCTGGTGCTTAGTCCAAGCTCTCACTATTGTGGGCCTCATGTGTTGTTTTTTTTTTTTTTTTGAGACAGGGTCTCGCTCTGTTGCCCAGGCTGGAGTGCAGTGGCTCAATCTCAGTGTACCTCACTCTCTGCCTCCCGGGCTCAAGTGATCCTCCCACCTCAGCCTCCCTACCTATAGGCATGCACCTAATTTTTTGTAGAGATGGTTTATTTTTTTTATTTTTGAGACGGAGTCTCACTCTGTCCTCCAGGCTAGAGTGCAGTGGCGTGATCTCAGCTCACGGTAAGCTCCGCCTCCCGGGTTTACACCATTCTCCTGCCTCAGCCTCCCGAGTAGCTGGGACTACAGGCGCCCGCCACTTCACCTGGCTAGTTTTCTGTGTTTTTTAGTAGAGACGGGGTTTCACCGTGTTAGCCAGGATGGTCTCAATCTCCTGACCTCAGATCCGCCTGTCTCGGCCTCCCAAAGTGCTGGGATTACAGGCTTGAGCCATCGCACCCAGCCAAGATGGTTTATTTTTTTGAGATGGAGTCTCACTGTCACCCAGGCTGGAGTGCAGTGGTGCAATCTTGGCTCACTGCATCCTCCACCTCCCGAGTTCATGCGATTCTCCTGTCTCAGCCTCCCAAGTAGCTTGGATTACAGGTGTCCACCACCATGCCTGGCTAATTTTTGTATTTTTAGTAGAGACAAGAGTTTCACTATGTCGGTCAGGCTGGTGGTCTTAAACTCCCTTCCTCAGGTGATCCAACCACTTCAGCCTCCCAAAGTGTTGGGATTACAGGCGTAAGTCACCACGCCCAGCAAGATGGGGTTTTACCGTGTTGCCCAAGCTGGTCTTGAACTCCTGGGCTCAAGTGATTCACCCATCTTGGCCTCCCAAAATGCTCGGATTACAGGTGTGAGCCACCGCATCCAGCCCTCATACATTTTTATCAAATAAATCATGATGGGTGAACCTCTACTAATTTTACCTAAACCTGCAGGGTTTCTGGATGTCCTAGTGATGGTCAAGGACTCCACGTTGGAGCACTGCTTCCTAAGTCACAGGCCTAAGAAACTCCCTTCGTGGGTGAGGCAGCTGCTTCTGTAACACATGCCCAGAGAGCTCTGCTTCCCCTCCACTGTGCTGCTGGTATTCCTGGACTAGGCTTGCCAGAGAAAGCCCTTGAGAGCCTTGAGAAAAACGAATGGAGGGGACAGCAGATTAGTTACAAGGACCTATCTGCAAAGCTTGAGCCATGGGACTTATTAGGAATAACACAATTCTGGCCCAGTGTTTTATTAAAACCTAGTTTCTGATTCCTAAGCAATTATGGGAAATGCTTTAACAAAAGGCTAAGAATCCAGTCACCCATAGCTAACAGCAGGGTCCTGGCACATACATGAGGCCAGCGTGAGCAGCCTAACTGAGCAGTGTGGGTGCACGCCTGCAGAGACAGCTGCCACCCTCACCCAATACTCCACACGGGAAGGAGGAGCCAGATCTGACACTTCAAAATGAAAACAGATTTTATGATGACTGTCCTAAGTTTTAATTGTTGGTTCCTTACATGCTGTTCTTATTCAAAAGAACAAAGCCTCATGTGGCCAACAGGTGCTCCCAGTTGGGCCCTCAAAGCCATGGGAAAAGTCTCTTACTACGTGCACAGCACAGTGCATGGTTTAAGAGCACTGACTGTGGAGGTATTCAGACCAGGTTTTAATAACACACACTTTGTGAACTTAGGTAAGTTCTTAACCTCTCTGAGCCTTATTTCAACCATAAAATGGGGATAAAGATACAGCAGCTGCATTAGACAATGGTTTGAAGACTAGAGGAAACCTGTGCCTGGTACACGGTAAGTGCTCAAGAGATGCGAGTTAACCAGAGGAGCCACTGACCAATGCCGTGCTTCTCCATGAGGGCAATGAGGTCGGCCTCGGTGAGCAGCTTGGGCGGGCTGGTCTCCCCATCCACCATCTCCACGGTGCTGGGCTGAAAGCGGGAGGCTCGCTCATAGACAGGGAGGATCTACAGGGAGCGGCAGGTGCAGCAGTCAGATGATTCCATTATCACACTCAGGCAAAAAATAACCTCATTTCAAGGAACACGGTCCTGCTCCACCAGAGAACTCAGGACTCGCAACACAACTGTCCTCCCTCTCCCTGGGGACCACTCTTGATCACCTTGTCACTCCAGTGATCATATGGATACACGTCCAGATAGTTTCGGGCCAGAATCACGAGGCCGTGGGCCACAAAGCGTTCCTGAGCGATGTCGATCTCCACTGTGGTCTCCTGCCCCTGAGCATCCTGGGAGCAGCAGGCCAGGAAATGGCGAACAATAAACTCGTACAGTCGCTGTTCGTCTCCCTAGGAAGAAACGAGGAGTTTGAAACTCCCCCTAGAATATCACCTCTCAAGGACAGGAGCATCGCTGGTAGCCTTAGCCAAATGTCCAGCACAGAAGAGGCCACACTGCTCCTCAGGCCCTGCACTAACATGGAGTGCCAGGCAAATAAGTCCTGGGGAGAGGATAGGTTTAGGTTGACACTTTCACAACTCAAATCTGGCAAAGATAAGCAAGGGAGTAATCTTCCCCTTCAGAGTGGTTCTTTGATGTAAACCCAATCTAAGCAGAAAACAAGATGAAAGCATAAGAAGTTGGCGAGAGACTCCTCAAATACAAGAGACACAGCAACACTGCACCTGGTGGCCTTAGCCCAACTTCATGCACACGTTTAAGCAGTAATTTGTCAGGGTAATTTTCAATTAGGTAATCAATGATTTAGTGAGTCTCACTCTATCAAAATGAGACATTTATACACATATCCAATAATTCCCCTTCTACGGATCTCTTCAAAGGAGTAACTGGAGAACCACAAAAATATTTATGTCTACAAATGTTAACTATAGTATCAAAAACATAAAAAACAGATTTGGCAAAATAAATTATGGCACATCTTTGCAATTGTTAAATATCATGCTTAATAGGCAATTTTTCCTCCCTTATAATCTTTTGTATTTCTTAAATTGTCTAAAATGAACATGTAATTTTTTTTTTTGAGACGGAGTCTTGCTCTATCACCCGGGCTGGAGTGCAGTGGCCGGATCTCAGCTCACTGCAAGCTCCGCCTCCCAGGTTCACGCCATTCTCCTGCCTCAGCCTCCCGAGTAGCTGGGACTACAGGCGCCCGCCACCGCGCCCGGCTAGTTTTTTGTATTTTTTAGTAGAGACAGGGTTTCACCGTGTTAGCCAGGATGGTCTCAATCTCCTGACCTCGTGATCTGTCTCCGCCTTCCAAAGTGCTGGGATTACAGGCTTGAGCCACCGCGCCCGGCCTAATTTTTTTTTTCAGAGTCTCACTCTGTCATCAGGTTGGAGTGCAGCGGTGCAATCTCAGTTTACTGCAACCTCCGCGTCCCGGGTTCAAGTGATTCTTCTGCCTCAGCATCCTGAGAGCTGGGACTACAGGCACACGCCACCACACCCAACTAATTTTTATATTTTTAGTAGAGACAGGTTTTCACCATGTTGGCCAAGATGGTCTCAATTTCCCAACCTCGTGATCCACCCGCCGTGTCCTCCTAAAGTGCTGGGATTACAGGCGTAAGCCACTGTGCCTGGCCATATTTTTAAAATCAGAAAGAATATATGTTATTAAAAGAAGGAGGAGAAGAACAAAAGACTAAGATTTCCCCAGCTTTGTGAGAAGCCTACAGATGTAAACAAGCCTAATGGCTCCTGTGCCTGCAGAGTCTGCCCCTGGCTGAAGAAATGACTGAGACAGACAAGAAGAGCTGAATGGGAAACTGCAATGACGTGGGGTGGCACGACTGGGGTGGCAGCAAAGTTTCAGGAGGCAACCAAAACTGAGCCAGTCTTGGGAGGATGGATAGAATTCTCTAGTTCCAGGGACTGGGAAGGCCACAAGGCTCACAGTGGGGGTAGGGGTCTGCACAGTGGTATGGGGAGGAGAGGTACCTAGGTTGCCTATGAAGGACTAGTAGGGAAGCAGCAGGAGCTGACGGAGAGTGGGGAGGTGGGGCTGGATTAAGACGGGGGCCCATCACGGGGAAGGGTGAAGCGGTCTTTCATCAAAGCAAGCGAAATGAGAGAGATCTCAAGATCACTGGTTTTTACAATCACAGCCCACAGAGTAAATTCAAATCTTACTACCAACCCCCAGCACTTCCCTCTGGGTTCCAGCAGGCAGCACATTCAGAGAAACCAACCTGTAAGCTGTTGGTATATTTGGTGGGGTGAATGGGAGGGTGAGCTTGGTCAGACTTGTTCCCATTGCGTGGGGTGGGACCACCCCGCTCTAGAATGCTCTGGGCAAAGGCCCCCCAGCGTGGATCGGGGGTCTGCTGTTCCACCAACACCGTCAGGTTTAAGTCTCTGGGAAAAATGTTTGTTTCTGTTCGGGGATAGCTGATGTACCTAAAACCAAGGCAAACAAACAGAAAAAGAAATTGCTAGGCTCTCTGGTCATTAAACAACTGAAAGCACCCACTAACACCTACAAACACTCATCTGATGTAGCCAACTCAACTGAAGGCAACCTGGGTTACCTGATTCAGAAAAGTTCTGAGATGAGATGCACCCACTCATGGGGTGAAAAGCAGCTGGCTCTCCTGCTAGGACACTCAAAGAAGCCAAAGGAGAAACAAAAGGGGCAGCACAGCACAGGATAAAGGCCAGCAGCCTCAGAACCTGGGGCTTGTCACTGGCCACTCTGAGGGTCAGTCTGACAGACCAACCCTGATGCACCACATGAGCCTCACTGACCCTGACAAGTTCCACCAGTGTGTGCTTCGAGATTTTTCTTAGAGTATACAAAGAATAATGCTGTCCAATAAAACTGTAACGTGGACTCTATTTGTTTTTCGTTTTTCCTTTTTGAGATAGTCTTGCTGTGGTGCCCAGGCTGAAGTATAGCAGCGCGATCTTGGCTCACTGTAGCCTCCGTCTCCCAAGCTAAAGTAATCCTCCTGCCTCAGCCTCCTGAACAGATAGGACTATAAGTGTGTGGCACAATGCCTGGCTAATTTTTCTTTTTTGTAGAGACAGGGTTTTGCTATGTTGCCCAGGTTGGTCTCGAACTCCTGAGCTCAAGCGATCCTCCTGCCTAGGCCTCCTAAGGTGCTTGGATTTCAGGTGTGACCCAGCATACCCAGTCTCTATTTGTAATTTTTGTTTTCTCCCAGAGATGGAGTCTCGCTCTGTCACCCAGGCTGGAGTGCAGTGGTGCAATCTCAGCTCACTGCAACCTCCGCCTCCTGGGTTAAATGATTCTCCTGCCTCCGCCTCCCCAGTAGTCGGGACTACAGGGGCGCAACACCACACCACACCCAGTTAATTTTTGTATTTTTAGTAGAGACGGGGTTTCACCATGTTGGCCAGGATGGTCTTGATCTCTTGACCTCATGATCTGCCTGCCTCGGCCTCCCAAAGTGCTGGGATTACAGGCGTGAGCCACCACGCCTGGCCCATAAACTCTATTTCTAAAATATTTCATCCTGATAAAGACGGTTCAAATTCTACTCCCAAATCCAGAATATTTACCCTTGAGTGTAGAGCTTCTCAGCAATCCTCATGGTTTCTTTAGCATTTATTCTCAACTTTCGAGAAGCCAGCTTCTCAAGCTCCTGTGAAATGGGTCAACAGGGATGTTAGGTGTATTGCATAAGTCAGGCAGCACAACTCAAATACACAACTCATCTTCAGTCAAATCTGGCCCCTGTCACTCCAGGTGCTTCTGTCAAACAGAGCGGAAAAGACTGCCCAACAACAATTTCTGGGCCTGCCAGGCAGAGTCAGATCCTAGCCTAGTGGTTCTCAGGCTTTAATGTGTGTAGGACTCAACTGGGAAGCCAGCAGATTTGGGGCCCTGACCACTGGGGAAGCTGCTATGTTGTGCAGACTGATTTTGAACTCCTGGCCTCAAGCAATCCTCCCTCTCTGACCCCCCAAAATGCAAGGATCACAAGCGTGAGCTACCATACCCAGCCGAAAACTCCATTTTTTTTTTTTTTTTGAGTCTCACCCTGTAGCCTAGGCTGGAGTGCAATGGCATGATCTCGGCCCACTGCAACCTCCACCTCCTGGGTCCAAGTGATTCTCCTGCTTCAGCCTCCCAAGTAGCTGGGATTACAGCACCACCACGCTTGGCAAATTTTTGTATTTTTAGTAGAGATGCGGTTTTGCCATGTTGGCCTGGCTGGTCTTGAATACCCGACCTCAGGTGATCTGCTCGCCTCGGCCTCCCAAAGTGCTGGGATTACAGACGTGAGCCACCACGTCTGGCCAGAAATCTACATTTTAAAAATTTTTTCATTTTCGAGACCGAGTCTCGCTCTTGTTGCCCAGACTGCAGTGCAGTGGCACGATTTCGACTCCCTGCAACCTCTGCCTCCCAGGTTCTTGCAATTCGCCTGCCTCAGCCTCCTGAGTAGCTGGGACTACAGGCGCTCACCACGGCTAGCTAATTTTTGTGTTTTCAGTAGAGACGGCGTTTTGCCATGTTGTGATTACAGGCGTGAGCCACCGCCTCTGGCCCAGTCTACATATATATATATATATATTTTCAGATGGAGTCTCACTCTGTCATCCAGGCTGGAGTGCAGTGGCGCGATCTCGGCTCACTGTAAGCGCTGCCTCCTGGGTTCATGCCAATTCTCCTGCCTCAGCCTCCCGAGTAGCTGGGAATACAGGTACCTGCCACCACACCTGGCTGATTTTTTGTATTTTTAGTAGAGATGGGGTTTCACCATGTTAGCCAGGATGGTCTCGATCTCCTGACCTCATGATCTGCCTGCCTCAGCCTCCCAAAGTGCTGCGATTACAGGCCTGAGCCACTGTGCCCAGGCTGAAATCTACATTTTTTAACAAAGCCGTCTAATACACTGTTCAAACACAGACAGTCTTGAGAACCACACTTTGGGAACACCACCCAAGCCCTGGTAAATTCTCCTGGAGGGTGAAAACCCCAGGAGGCCTCCTGGGGGATAACAGATGTTTTTTTCCCTAGGTGACAAGTTAACAGTGCTGATGACTATATGTCACACTAAAGCATACTTAACCAGTGAGGACTAAAAAACATAAGCCTACTATATAAAATCAATGCAGCTGGGCGTGGTGGCTCATGCCTCTAATCCCAGTACTTTGGGAGGCCAAGGCAGGCAGATCACGAGTTCAAGAGATTGAGACTATCCTGGTCAACATGGTGAAATCCCGTCTCTACTGAAAATATAAAAATTAGCTGTGTGTGGTGGCATGCACCTGTAGTCCCAGCTACTCATGAGGCTGAGGCAGGAGAATCGCTTGAGCCTGGGAGATGGATGCTGCAGTGAGCCAAGATCACGCCACTGCACTCCAGCCTGGCGACCAGAGCAAGACTCCCTCTCAAAAAACAAACAAACAAACAAGCAAACAAAATGCATAACTGCCCCCATGCAATCCCTCCACACATATACACATTTACTGTGGCTTGCCCAAGACAAAGAATGCACTGCCCACCAGTCCCTGTGTGCTTCTTAGCCTGCATGCTTGTTAGCCTTAGTGTTCTGTACGTCCAACCTTCAGAGTGAATTCTAATAGTAATTCTATCCCCAATTTTCCTGCTAAGTGGTGACTGAGAAGGCATACTCCTAATGTGATTTACTCAGACTTGTGTTCCGTCAGGCTCTTCCTGGGGTCAAATAATTTGAGAAGCCCTGTTCTAAAGTAGGTTCATATAGCAGATTATTTAAAGTAATATTTACACAGATTATGCAGCAACATGAAAAAATGCTTGCGTGGAAAACACAAGCTACTTTAGTTATAATGCTGTAAAAACATGCATGTTAAAAAACTGGAAGAGATACTAGTAATTATGTAAGGATGGTTGTCTTCCTCTTTTTGTTTCCCAAATCTCAGGCAATGCAGTTATATTGCAATTGTTTTTTTTTTTTGAGACGGAGTCTCGTTCTGTCGCCCAGGCTGGAGTGCAGTGGACGGATCTCAGCTCATTGCAAGCTCCGCCTCCCGGGTTTACGCCATTCTCCTGCCTCAGCCTCCCGAGCAGCTGGGACTACAGGCGCCCACCACCTCGCCCAGCTAGTTTTTTGTATTTTGTAGTAGAGACGGGGTTTCACCATGTTAGCCAGGATGGTCTCGATCTCCTGACCTCGTGATCCGCCCGTCTTGGCCTCCCAAAGTGCTGGGATTACAGGCTTGAGCCACTGCGCCCGGCCGCAGTTGTTAACAACAACAACAACAAAAAAAAAGCCAGGTGTGGTGGCTCACGCCTGTTATCCCAGCACTTTGGGAAGCTGAGGTGGGCAGATCACCTGATGGTGGTGTATGCCTATAATCCCAGCTGCTCGGGAGGCTGAGGCAGGAGAATCGCTTGAACCCGGGAGGCGGAAGTTGTGGTAAGCCAAGACCGCACCATTGCACTCCAGCCTGGGCAACATCTCAAAAAAAAAACTCAAAAAAATCTCAAAAAGAAAAAAAAAACCATTAAGAGGCCAGGCAGTGGTTGGGTGTGGTGGCTTATGCCTGTAATCCCAGTACTTTGGGAGGCTGGGGCTGGAGAATCACTTGAGGCCAAGAGTTTGAGACCAGCCTGGTCAACATAGTGAGATTCCGTCTCTACAAAAAAATTATAAAAATAATTAACTGGTCATCATGGCACATGGCTATAGTCCGAGCTACTTGGGAGGCTGAGGTGGGAGATCTCTTGAGCCCAGAAGTCTGAGTCTACAAAAACAAAACAAACAAAAAAAACAAACAGTAAGGCTAAGCAGGACCGTGTCTTTCTCAAGCATTTTCTTGTGTGGCCTGGTGATGGGTGATATTTTCTTCCACCAAGCCACAGTCTAGGCAGTAGAACCACGGCCTCAAAACAGTGTTTCCCCAGTGCCTGAAACAGCCTGTCCGGAACATACCACAGTGTCCAAAGCTTGAGGCCGCCACTTGCTCTTGGGCTTAGATCTGACCTCTACCACAGTTGCCATGGGATCCTAGAAAGCCAGGAAAGAAAAGACCATGTTAACCTGTTAGTGCATCATCCCCATCCTTCCTGTGGATAGCCCATGCCAGTCCTTCCAGATCAAACTGACGACCACCAGCTAGGCCTGCAGTGACAGCCTAGGAGAGTGCCCACTTAATGTCGCTTGTAGCTGACAGCAAGATAGACACCATCACTACTTTCCCACTCAAACCAAGATTGCGAAGGGCAATTTGACAAGCCTTAAGGTGCTTCCTCCAGAGACTATGAAATCCAACAGCCTATGCATTGCCTGAATACAGTTTTCTATGTACACATGCACAGTGCTCCTTCTGTTGTTGTTTTGTTTAAAATACAGAGATAGGGTCTTGCTATGTTACCCAGTCTGGCCCAGAAGTCCTGGGCTCAAGCAATACTCCCATAAGCCACCATGCTTGGCCCAGTGCTCCTTTAAAAAAAAAAAAATTCAGGATAATACAGAGTTAGAAACAGGAGAAATTGCCGGGTGCGGTGGCTCACGCCTGTAATCCCACCACTTTGGGAGGCTGAGGCAGGTGGATCACAAGGTCAAGAGAGCTAGACCATCCTGGCCAACATGGTGAAAACCCATCTCTACTAAAAATACAAAAATTAGCTAGGTGTGTTGGCGCATGCCTGTAGTGCCAGCTACTGGGGAGGCTGAGGCAGGAGAATCGCCTGAACCCAGGAGGTAGAGGTTGCAGTGAGCCAAGATCGTGCTGTTGCACTCCAGCCTGGCGACAGAGCCAGACTCTGTCTCAGGGAAAAGAAAAAAAGAAATAGGAGAAATTATACAATACAAGCTAGAGACCTTTAATCTTAAAACCAACTTCATAGTTTGCATCGCCCACCACGTAGTCCCGTACCACATCCGACTGAAGGAGAAACAGGGCGGGCCTTTTTATTACTTACTTTTATATTTTATTATTATTTAAGTTGATCTTTTTTTTTTTTTTTTTTGAGGCAGTATCTCATTCTGTCACCCAGGCTGAAGTGCAGCGGCATAATCATGGCTCACTGCAGCCTCAACCTGCTGAGCTCAAGCAATTCTCCCACCTCAGCCTCCCAAGTAGATGGAACTATATGCAGGTGCCACCACGCCCAGCTAATTTTTTTCTTTTTTGTAAAGATGGGGTTTCACTATGAAACCTCGGCTGGTGGTCTTTTTATTTAACAAATAATTGTGCAGTGTTACAGAGACTCCCAATGGTCCAGGGTCAAAGGTGGAGTGAAAGAGAGATGGAGACAGCAGCACGGTCTGCAGAAGGGGTAGGGACACACTGGGATTCGGTTGTGCTCTGCCACGTACAGCTCTCACGTGTCTGTGGGTAAGTCTCTTCACTTTCTTTAGCTTCTTCATCTGGAAAATGGGGATGCTATCACTGCCTTCACAGGAATTATTAGGATTAAACAAAACAACACATAACAAAGTGTGCCTGGTCCATAGTGGGTACTGCACAGTTATCACATCCCTTGCCTAATTAGTAACAAATCTGCCAGTGGGCTGCAGCCAGAAGCACACCATAAATTAAGCCTAGAGAGCTCGGAATTTTACTTAAGCATGACTCTGTGCAGTCCCTGGGTTAAACCAGGCTGTTATGTGCTAATAGGAAGTGACATCAGAAAGGAAACCATACAGCCCAAGGGCCAGGAAACGTTAGGGTGGGTCCTAACTCTGCCACTGACTGGCCTATGGCCCGGGCCAGTCTTGCTCCCTTCTATAGCACATGCATGTCCCACCCACCCTCCAGCCCTCTCCCTAACCTCTCCAGCCTCTGCTCCAGTGTAACCTCTCCCCTCCCTGTCCCTCCAGCCTTTCTCTATCCCTTTCCCTTGCCTTATTTTCTTCCTAGCTTTTATCAGTATATAAAATTAACCCACTAATTTGTGACTTTCACTTCTCTAGATTTCCTCACGCGACCAACAAAGAGGGGGCTGAGCCAAACGCTGTCCATTCTCTCCTAGCTCTATAAGTCAATGACCTGGACTGGTCTAGCTAATCCTTGATAATTCCTGGTGACAGTATACGCCACAAGAGGAGATTTCAACTATACATTTCCCAAAATTTCTGATTTTATCTAAAAAGAATGCAGATACTTCCCTTTTCCTTTTAGTGCTGTTTTCAGGGGGTTCTAGTCTTACTGGTCCCCAAAGTGATCCCGAGATGCAAACTTAAAGCTAAAGTCCAATGGGAGAACGAGATAGATCACCTCTGCCAACAGTGGGAGTGATCTGGGAGGTGTGCAGAATGCTTCCTAGATCATTAAGGGTTCGAAGGACTTCTTACCTCCATACACAACTGATAGAGAACTAGGCAAGCCGTGTGGTTAAAGAGTCGATGCCTTTTCCAGTTGAATTCTACGATACCATCTTTGTGGTCATGAGTTACTATATTAAGGAGAGACAAACAGAAAGGCTGTGTCTCAGAGAAGCCACATGATATGACAGATAGGAAAAGGTTTATCTGTGTCTCAGAGAAGCCACATGATATGACAGATAGGAAAAGGTGGTGAAAGTCAAAGGAATATCAAATAAGGAAGAATTTCCAGATAACAAAGGGAACTTTAAGAGGATTGTAATGGGCCAGGGAGGATGACAGCAAGACTAAAATAAATTACATCTTTATTAGTGCTATTAACGCTCACAGTCCCCTTCCTTAACCTTGGGCCCATAGGTCCCAGGCCATAACCCCCACTCCAGGCCCTACCTTTAATTCTGTGGAAGATTTCTGGTACAAAAGCCTGAATGGCTTTGAACCGCTCCACCACAAAGCCCAATGTGGGGAACTGGCAGCTGCCATAACTGATGAGCTGCTCTGCCAGCACCTCAGGAAAAATCTTCTGAAGCCGCAGGGTCTGGAACCTAGTAAAGGCAGCTCCTGGAGAGTGAAGGAAGGTGAAAATGGTGGCTAATAAGAGTCCAGGGCTGGCTGCACATATCTACACAGAGCCCATTTTTGGTCCCATAACACAACATTAATGTGGCCATGGGGGGGTCTGCCTAGCTCCTCACCAATCCTCAGGTCCAGCTCCTGCCTCACATCCACAGCATCGCTCACCCTCTGATCGGGCTCAGTCAGGTTTTCACAAGCTGTCCTGACGGCACGGGGTGTGATCTCAGAGAATCGGGCTCGCAACACCTGCAGATTGGGCTTTACTGCAGAACACAAGGCATTACCAAGGTCAAAGTCAAACCACACTGCCCTCCATCATAAAGGACTCACTTTTCTTAAAGCCCCTTGAAATAAAGGCAAACCAGTTCAAGAAGCTGTGAGGTGACCAATTTACCTATTAGGTTAAATCAATGGTGTACAGTGTCTAAAGAGGAAACACCACCATAACCTTTAAACTGAGTATACTCTCAAAAATAGTGATGGAGCTAATCTTAGCTAGTAACTGTGGGGAAAAGAAAGAGAGACAGATTGTTACTTTGTCTATGTAGAAAAAGGAAAACATAAAGAAACTCCATTTTGATCTGTACTAAGAAAAACTGTTGTGCTTTGAGATGCTGTTAATCTGTGACTCTTGTCCCAACCCTGTGCTCACAAAAACATGTGCTGTATTGGCTAAAGGTTTAAGGGATTTAGGGCTGTGCAGGATGTGCTTTGTCAAAAATGTGTTTGTAGGCAGTACACTTTGTGAAAGACATCACCATTCTCCATTCTCTATTAACCAGAGACACAATGCACTGCGGAAGGCCGCAGGGACTCCTGCCCAAGAAAGCCTGGGTATTGTCCAGGTTTCCCCCCACTGAGACAGCCTGAGATATGGCCTTGTGGGAAGGGAAAGACCTTACAGCCCCCCAGCCTGACACTCGTAAAGGGTCAGTGCTGAGGAGGATTAGCGAAAGAGTAAAGTCTGTATGTGGTTGCGGTAAGAGGAAGGCATCTGTCTCCTGCACGTCTCTGGGAATGGAATGACTCGGTGTAAAACCGACCATATATTATATTCTGAGATAGGAGAAAACCGCTGTATGGCTGGAGGCGAGACATCATGGTGGCAATACTGCTCTGTTACTCTTTACTTCGCTGAGATGTTTATGTAAAGTTAAACATAAATCTAGCCTATGTACACATCCAGGCACAGCACCCTTCCTTAAACTTATTTATGACACAGAGTCTTTTGTTCACATGTTTTCCTGCTGACCCTCTCCCCACCATCACCCTACAATCAAACCGCATTCCCCTCGCCGAGATAGTAAAGATAGTGATCAATAAACACTGAGGGAACTCAGAGACCAGCGCCAGTGTAGGTCCTCACTTACTGAGCACCAGTCCCCTGGGCCCACTTTTCTTCCTCTATACTTTGTCTCTGTGTGTGTTATTTCTTTTCTCAGTCTCTCGTCTCCACCTTGCGAGAAATACCCATGCCCCTTCCGTAACTAAAATACTAAAATGCTCTTGGTGAGCATTGTTTTTTTTTTTTTTTGAGACAGTCTCACTCTGTCACCCAGGCTGGAGTGCGGTGGTACAATCTCGGCTCACTGCAACCTCTGCCTCCTGGGTTCAAGCAATTCTCCTGCCTCAGCCTCTTGAGTAGCTGGGACTACAGGCACATGCCACCACACCTGGCTAATTTTTGTAATTTTAGTAGGGACAGGGTTTCACCACGTTGACTAGGCTGGTCTCGAACACCTGACCTCAGGAGATCCACCTGCCTCAGTCTTCCAAAGTGCTGGGATTACAGGCATGAGCCACCGTGCCTGGCTGCCTTTTGAGACTTTAATCTTACTTGCTCTCTCAGGCCTTTTGGGAAAAGAAAAATACTATCAATTAAAGGGTTTTGTGGGGGAATTTCATGTCCCTTCAGGAAAGAATATAGGACATACACACACTGTCCTTTAAAGTTAATGCACTTAAATTTCCAGGAGTCATTACAGCGCTGAACACAAAACCACTAAACGAAAATAGCAACCCCACCCTCTGAGCTAGAGAATGGCCGGCCCGTTCATCACTTCCTCTAAGTTACCCAAAACCATTAACACGGCGAGAGCCTTTAAATCCACTGCAACAATTATTTATTAATAGTCGAGTACTGTATAAAAGGAGAGATTAAAAAAGAAAACAGAACATTTTGTAATTATTCTTTGTACTTTACTTGTGATATATTCACTCTTTTACACATATTCAATATGTAATTTTATTTTTCTATTTTTGTTTTCATTAACCAAATACTAAAATAATTCAATATATAACAACAACAACAAAAAGAATATAAAGTCCCTGTTCTCAAGGAGCTGGGTATCTGCTTGTATGCTTGTACCTAACAAGGAATGAGTCCTGGTCTAAATGGTTTACATCACGCATTAACTCATCTAATCTCTGTGGCAGTCCCAGGAAACATGTTGGATTGGCCTGATATTACAGACAAGGAAGTCGAGGCTCCCAATGGCTCAGTGATTTGCTCCAGGACACATGGCTGGTGGGACTCACAGACCGACAGGGAAAGTATCTGCAGAGGAACTCATCCGTGGCTCACTTGCACATACAAATGAGAACACTCTATTTATGGAATCCCAAAGTAGAGAAAGTCAGCAGCAGCAGCACTTACCAGTCTTACACACGTGGATAATCTCAAACCCAATGTTTTCGCCTTCTCTATCACAGTCAGTCCAGATCACCAGAGCCTGGCACTGGCGAGTCTCTCGTTCCAGAGTTTTCTGAAGTTCACAGTGGAATAAGAGTGGTGAGAACAGAATTGCAGAACAGTGACTTGACACCTCTATGCTAAGGGGATCTGACTGAAGGTTAATAATATTCTTGGAGTGTGACAACTTGGCGAAGGAAAGAGACCAGAGAAAACTGCTCTCATTGGTCCTAATGATCATATAACCCCTTAGAACCACAAATGAGTTTCTAGAATAGAGGGTTTAATATAACTTCCCCAATATGACGAAACCTAAAATTCAGCTCTAACACACACACACTTCAAGTGGTTCTGATTATGACCTGGTTAAAAAAAACAAACCCCGGCTGGGCACGGTGGCTCACGCCTATAATCCCAGCACTTTGGGAGGCTGAGGTGGGTGGATCATGAGGTCAGGAGATTGAGACCATCCTGGTTAACATGGTGAAACCCCGTCTCTACTAAACATACAAAAAATTAGCTGGGCATGGTGG